GGGGGGGGGGGGACGGGCGAGCGGGCTCCCCGCTGGGGCCGCCGGCACCTGGGCTCTGCTCCGCTCGTGCCACCGCTGAGCTTTTTAGGGGTTATTTGGGCTGGCCCTCCTTTGCCTTGTTGCCCCGTCCCACCCCCTCCTCTTGCTTCGCGTGGAGGAGGGCCCCTCAGTCCCTGGAGGGCCGCAAGGCCTTGGGACCGCTGCGGCCAACCTTCAGGCTCGCACCATGCCTCCCTCTGCCTTTGCACTGATGGTGGTTTGCATGGCGGTTTCCCATATATTTGTTTTCTCGTTCCCCTGAGGACAGGCAGGGATGTGAATATCACATGGGAGTCATCACTCCCTTCGCCTTTTGCTCTCCTCTGTCCCTAAAAGCTAGATTTACAAAATGGCCCGAGACTTGGCTGGCAAGGTGTGTACGGTCTGATGCTCACAGTCCGTACTTCCCTTGCCGGGCCTGGTGTAGTAAAGACCCTCCTGTAGCTTCAGGTCCAGATGAAGCCCTGAAATACAGCATGATCCTTGAGGTCACTTGGGAAGGCTGTAGCAGACCATGGCATTGAACCCAGATCTCCAGGGCCTCATTAACTTAAGGACAGCATGGTGTTGGTTCTTTCTTGCAGAGAAGCAGGTAGTGGTGTTTTTTTTAGAAGAAAGCATAAAAATACTCGAGGATGCTGGACCAAGAGCATTGGGTTGAAAAATACAGTGCCTAAAGAGCAAGCAAGCATTTCTGAAACCTGGCCCAAGGTTTTGGAAGCTAACTGCTTGTGGGTAGGAGGGGGAAGGCTGCTTTCTCTCTCTGCTGAGAATCTGGTCTCTCAAAAGGCATACTTTGAAATTCCCTGGATTTGTTTTGTTTCTTGCTTTCCTCATTTGTATCGCATATAGAGATTAACAGTCATACAAAGTGATCTGCAGCTGTTGGCTAACCTGTGCTACCAAGATAGTAAGCGCTGGGCTCCTCCATAGCAACCCGGCGAGTGTTGTATTGTGAATGGGTCTAGAGCTCCCAGAATGTAACACAATGCAATTTTGTTTGCCCTGTTGGGTCAGGTACTATCAAAGGATAATATTTACTTTTCCACTTCAAAGAGTTTTCATTAGTGGTTACAATAAAGAAGTATCATGGAAAAGAGCTGATTGCTGTGGAAGGGTCCCTGTTATTACTGTTGTGTTGTATTCACCAGTATTTATTTACCTGCCGTTAGAGGGGGAGTTGGTGCTGGCTTGAAGAAAAGACTAAAGGGCTGCTTGTAACCTTGTCTTAAGAGCTGGCTTAACTGAATTATTCATGAAAAGGGAAGGGGGGAACCAACAAAAATTAATACACTTAAATTAACTGTTAATACATAGTTGATGCCTTGGAAAGTCACCCTATATGAAAATCTTCACAGATTTCAGGCTGCGTGGTTTGGCACTGATTACCTGCTGTGGGTATAGGTGAGAAATTGCCAGTACAGATATGGAGGCCATAAGAATAACTGAGATGGGCAAGGATAATATGTAAGCAGCAGGGTTTTCTGTCTCTCACAAAGTGTTAGGTAGCAAAGAACAGACGGATTTTGCAGTGATGTGAAGATGTGTACAGTATGCTTGCTTTGTAACAGTAGTAGTCGTTGCCTGTCCTAGCCTTCCACAGATGTTACCTTCATGCTGCTACTGTTAATTGTCTTGTTCTCTTGCTCACACAGTCTAACTGATGATGTTGTGCAGTCCAGCTTGTACAGTCTTTATTAACATCAGTAATAAGCCTTCTCCAGTTTTAGCCTGCTCACCCTGTGCTCTTTTTCTTTTCTAACATCTCTCCCAACCCTTGAGTTCTGTGGGAGTGTTGTTTATGAAGCCATTGCTATCCAATGTGTAGATATGAATTTAGGAGGAGGAAAGAGGCAGAAATAAGGTGGTCTTTGAGAGCTTTGGTGACCCCCTGCCCCATTAGCTTTGCTCAGTGGTACTTGCACTTTCAGTCCTGTTGGGGTGCTCCAGCCTTTTGCACACAGCTTCCTTCCACAGATTGGTGCTACCTGGTTGTGACTATTTGCAGAAACATCACTTTCATCCTCTCTGTCTTATTTACAACCAATAGGAACTTCTGGGGTCAGTGATTTCTGCCTTCAGCAGACACTGCCCAGCACAGTGAAGCTTTGGTTTACGTGACCCAGGATATCATGGCTAGTGCCATTGACTTCTTTGGACTAGATGTGATGCGCTAGTCTTGTAAGTTTGTGTTGCTGGTGTCCACTAAGTAGCCTTTGCAGCGTCTGCTCAGCGGAAAGCAGAGTGCTGGCATTTGCCCTCCAGCTCAGCCATGGTCTGTGTGCTGCCTTTGCAGCTGTGTGTTACAGTGATGCGCTGGGGTTGCTTTCTGTGAGAGAGATATGTACAGGATCTCTTGGAGAAGGGTAGAAAACTGTCATGTGTCTGGGCAAAATTTGCTTGCAGTTTGGACTGAGGCTGGAGTCAACCATGCTCTGCTGGTGTAGCTGGTATTTTTTAGGGTCCTGTAGAGTATGCTCTTTGTTCTGTGGGAATACGTTTCATGGGAGCAGATTTTATCCAAGCACTGATTTCAGCAGAAGCATGAGCAGATCTAATTCCTAATCTTGGCTATTTCCCCAGAACTTGCTAAGCATCTTACAACTCAAGACTGTGGTGCCCAGTAAGGATATAGCTAATTGGTAATACACCTTTATTAGAACACTTAAATGGAGCATTTAAAAAGCATCAGTCGCCCTTTATAGATCCAGCTGGCTTATGAGACATTTTTTGTTGGTGCTGTTGAAGGCAGCCTAGAAATTTTGTTAGCATTATTGTCAGTGACACCTATTTCACATTTGTATTGTATTTAGAAATGCATGTAACTATGAGTATTCTGTATTACAGAACAAGCAGAATCTGAAGGTGTCTGTGTCTTGACATGAATCTAGCAGAGGATATTGGAATCTGCAGTAACCTATCTGAATGTGTACCTACACTAATGGTTTTTACTGTGTGTAATCATATAAAGGTTTGTATGTATCTGTAAAGTGTAATAGCACATTTAATTACTGCATAAACAGACCAAGCTTTATACGTGAAGCTATGAACTGAAGCTTTTCATTTGATACAGAAAAAGCAGCACTTAACCTGGAGCAAACTGCCTCTGACTAGCTCATTGTTAGTGCTGAGGTGTTGAGCTTTTGGCTTTAAATAGAAGCATTCTCTCCTAATGTGTCAACAGGATGAAAACTTGGGGTTTGACTTTTCTTTGTAAGACGCAAAGGTGAGCTATATGTAATTATAGTTCTGCTACTTTATTTTAACCATTTAAAATGCTGTATTCCCTGACATTTACAAAAAGGAAAAAAGCTAAAGGTTGGTTTTTTTTCCCTTCTTGTGATACAGATGTGAATAAATGATGTACAGCAATTACCTGCAAACAAGGGCTTATGTGTTATGAAAATGAAATGTTGTTGTAACCTCCATGTGAAGCACGCCTGTGGGAAACGACTAGCTTGAGCGGTTGTTATAGTTGCACATTGCAGTGTAACTGAAAATATCGTAGAGTATTTGCCAGCCGTTGTTTGTAGGGTTATGTTATAGAATCAAGCATTACCATGGCAATAAGGACTGTTTCAGAAATCACTAGTGTTGAATATTTAGATTTCTTTTTTTTTTTTTTTTAATTTTAAGCTTTTTCTTGGGCTATGCTTTCAGGACATCAGGCAAAGTTCTAGCATAGGTATTTATGGCATCACACTCCATGCGTATCAAAATTTGAGTGAAGTCTGGTTGTCTTGAGTTCAAACTTGTGGTATCCTCTGGCATCAGGGGAACACTAGCCTCACAGGCAGACACCAAAAAAGTGATTATTAAGTTTAATTGAAAAGTCACTGTATTTATGTATATTACATTATAGTGTGTGAAGGTAATCAACTGAATATTAACAAAAAAAAGTAGTCTCAAGTTTGCTATTATGCATCTGTTAGTACAGGATTCAAAAAATCCTGAATGCAGCCTTTACACCAAGAAGTAATTTGAATATATAGGCATTAATATACTTTGGCATTTTGTGAATGGGCTAGGAAGTAGCGATACTAATTTAAATTCTAGAAATGAGTAACACTGACATTATTAGGTGGCTTATATTCCGGACTGTCATCTAGCTAAAAAGTTTGTGCTTCTGTGTATAGAAATTTGGCATATTCTGGTTTAGCACAATGTATCTGTGGATGGGAGAGGGGAG